TCAATCATGTCGATCTCAATAAAAATCTCATTAATATTATATCTTAACTGAATCTTATATTTCTACTACTAAAATTTGATTTAAAAAAAATATATGGGCCATACATTTTTATAAAAACAAAAACCATTAATAACAAATTTCAGTTAAAATATATTGATGGTAGTAATATGCAGTCTGTAAAACTTAGAATCCGATAAGTATAGGAAAACAAAAAGCTATAAAGCAGTCGCATTTGAGTTACCACTTGGATAAAGGAATTTATTGCCTCATTCAATTTTGACTTCGTCCGAAGTTTTACGAAAAGAAGGAACCTATCAATTAAGGACTTCCTCGAGGAGCGATTTAATTTTTACACGATACATCGATCTTCAAAATAAAAAAAAAACAGGAATAATATTTATTATTTTTCGCATGATTTATTACGTTTTCCACTTCTTCTTGCATACCGTGATTTATGGTTTGCTTGCGCTGAGAGCGAGATTTTCTTTTTGCCGTTCCTTTTTCCATCTGCTTCAACATCCCCTCAAACCGAGACGAGAAATTCGCATTGCAAAACTCCCTAATTCTTATTTATACAAATAGCTTTTCAACGCGCCCGCATCCATAAATTATGATGCTTTACACACACAAATTGTATTAAATATCAGATGGATATTTAACATCGAGAAACGAATTTATGAGTTGGGGAAATCAAAGATATTATTTGAAGGGATGATGATGGAAAGGGATGGAACGACCATCAATTTGCCAGACAATAACCTTTATGCTAACAACGTGACAAATCGCGACCATTTATTTACACAATGCCTCTGATTAGCCCAAATAAAAAATCGCATTCGGACGGCGCATTGACTTTTCATTTCGGTGAAATCCGACCAATCAATCCTTCTCCGGCCACCAGAAAATTGAACCATTTAACATTTTTCTTACAAACTGAAGGGGAATATTGACAAGGAAATATTGCATCATCATAGTGTTAATTCCCAATGAAAATTATTCTATTATCAAAAAAAAACTATTAAAAGTAAAATCTTGATAGTTAATTTTATTTGTAAATAACTGAAATAAAATACAAAAAAATCAGATTATATTACAATATAAAACATGAAACATATAATTTATATTATTAATTGTAATTTTTATAAAAAAAATTCAATAAGTACATGTATACTGAGCATGTCAATCAATAAACTTATTTCATTCTCCGTCTGCCCAATTACAAACCCAATTTTCCTTTATTTATTTCAGGATATTTAAAATTCTATTAAACTGTTCCATATCGATATCCAATTTATTTACTTTTCTAATATCCCCCACATTCACAGTTTTAGTTAACATGGGTTTAATATTTTCTTTTGATGACTTTTGCTGTTTTTCTTTCATTACTTCTAATCGTGGTTTACTCCAATACTCCTTTCGTTTTATATAATTTAAGATTCTCGTATCACCCACATTTATATTTTCAGTTTGCAATGGTTTTAAATGTTTCTTTGATGGCTTTTGCTCTTGTTTATTCCATACTTCTAAACTCGATTTCCTCGAATACGTATATTCTTTCTCTTTTTTTTTCACATTATTTACACGTTTCACATCACCGACATCTACATTTGTATCTAATCTATCTTTTAACTGTTTCTTTGCTGACTTTTGTTTTTCTTTATTCGTTACTTCTAAACTTGATTTTCTAGAATATATAGTTTCCACGTCCATACTTTTAGTTAACATAGGTTCTAACTGATTCTTAGATGATTTTTGAGGTTTCCTGCAATTGTTATTTTTCATCTCCATTTCTTTCACTAAATTAAGTATATTTTTCAACTCTTCCACATCTACATCTATATGCAACTTAGGTATTATTTTGATCGTCGATAAGTTGTTCAATTCTTTTTTGCAATCTTGCAATTTTATTTCCTCATTTTTCTTCTTTATTTCTTGCAGATAGTTCAGTGACTCTCTCATCTCTTCTCTGTACATAGTTAATTTAGACTTTTTATTTAAGTTGTTCGTCAAAGTTTCTTCATCTGTTTTCCTTTTTCTCGTTGTCTCCTGCCTCTTCTTGCAACTCTTCTCCAACTCCTTTATGTTCAACATAAATTGCCTATCAATTGATTTCCTAAGATTTGCATTCCACATCTCACAATCTAAACTATTATCCAGAACTATGGAATAAATTTCCTCATTGCTTTTATCGGAATTTAAACTTTGTATCAGTTCGATTTGGTAATGTGCAATGTTATCCACAATTATTTTGGGCATCATATTTTGAGGTAAATAGTATTTTAAGGGACTTGAAGGTTATATATTTATACTAAACTATACTCGCTTATTGCGATTTATATACAATAAATATAGTATAAACTTACTATAAATAAATATAAAGTTTAAAAAAGTAAAGTAAAATTCACATACTTCATATTTAAATGCTGTTTTTATGTTTAAAAAATGTTATTTTTTTCAGTCGGTAGATAGTTCAGCATGTGGTAAATTCCCGGAATAAGCCGCACATTTTACTTATTCAGCCTAAAAAGCATGTGGCAAATGGAAATAGAATGTTCAGATTCGGTCGACAATAATAGCAAAACATGTAATACCTATGACACATTTCGCTAAGTATTAAGCCTTCACAACTACCATCCTTTGCGTGTTTTGTGCATTGAAGTTTGGCATAAAAATCCCAAAAAAGACACATTTCAGTTCACTATTATTTTGCACTAAATTCAAACTGAATCGAAGTTTAAAGACTGAATATTTTTAGTTCAATGATAAAAATAAATCTGATTGAAATGTATAATAGTTAGAATCTTCAAACAAGCCAAGCTAATACAATAAAAGCAGTTCAGAAAATTATTAAATTAAATTAAAACAACTGATTGATTTTTCAAAAAAAATAATTGCAGAGTTCAAAATGCAATAATGATAGAAATATTGTATACTACAATAGTTGAGTTGAAAGTGTATATTCAATAGAAATGGAAGTGATTTGAGGTTTATAAATTGATTGTTTATTGAGTAATGCAAACATCAAAAGTGGTTCAATTATGAAATTCGTAATTAGGAAACAGGGTTAAAAGCCAATCCCGTCTGATCGAATCCTACAATTGTTGGATTCTTCGAACGAGCGGAAAGTCAAAAATTGGATCGCACAATTCCGACTTCCGTCATTTAATTGGTATGCCCGTTGCGGACAATCAACCAAATTACGGACCGCATCACACCAGTCCGATTTATTATTTCTATTATTGCGCGATTGTCAATCGAATTTTAGTCGTACTGTTCTGTAGACAACAATAGCTGCATTGCGCTCCAGCCAATTGCATATTCAATGATATGCAGTAATACCAAGCTACGTTTTATTATTTATCATGCTACAGTTTGTGTGCAACTACTGACACAATATTCATTGCAATCTATTTATTACACGCATTTCATTTTAATTAACCAAATTTCAGCGTCGATAATTTTATAAACTTGATATATAAAATGTTCAGTTTAAAACAAATCAACAAAGCTTCAAGTTGAAGCCCAACTATCATTTTTGAAATAATGATATTAATTAATGCCAAATAAGATTAAGTTTAATTTGTGTTAAAGAAAAACACAAGAACCTTTAATGAATAGAGTTTAATTTGTTGTTGAACATAGACCACGTATCTGTTAAACATTCTTCCTAATTAGTAGACACGATTAAGTAATCCATATAATAATTAACATTTAACTCGCGCCGGTGCAAAAAGAACACCAAACGATGCTGATTCCACTACTGACGAATATATAGAGAGGGCAATGACGACAATTCTGATTCAGAAATTATTATATAATATTATATATTATTATATATATTACATATTATTATATTATATTATATTACAAATAGTTATGAATCTAATTAAAAGAGCATTAGTTAACAACAAAATAAAATTACAATCATTTATATCAGACGGGGTTGGCAGTAATACATGTGGCATATAAAAGTACATAGAAATTTCATGGCGCGAGTAGTTAAAGGTTAAATAATCTATATAATAGAAATAACTTTGTTTCAGCGCATCAGTGGTTGTGAAAGGTGGCAACAATGTACACCATGAAGTTGTTGAGGAAAGCTTAGCTCAGAAGAGTTAAGCATGGAGGAGCACAGTGTTACGGAAACATTATTAAGTAATAAGTACATTACTAATTAGAATAGTCTTAAGTGGAGAAACAGTTTTAAGTATTAGTTGAGAATAGTTTAAGTAACGTAGTATAATCATTATGTAAGAAGTAAAATAAACCCCAAACGCTGTTGGTCCGTCATCCAAAATAAATAAACAAATTCGTCGATAAACTTTTAAATATTTTTGTCAATTGAAGTGAATAATTTATATTTTCTACCGGATATAATACATTTTATATGCGTTTAAATTTATGAGACGAAAAATAAAAATGTTATAGTCTTTTTTTATATCACATAATGCAGTGTATTTTATGTTAACCTCTTTTGGAGTGGTTTACTCATATATACATATTTTTTTTTATTATTTATTTGCCTGCAGTCATAAGAAAATTATTACGTTATAATAAATGTTGAGTGCTTTAGTGAATTGAATGTAATACTAAATATCAATTTGAAACGAAAAAGAGTGATACTATGAATATAATAAGTTCAAAAAACTTATGTTAGATTCCTACAAATATAATTTCCATGAATCATTGATTAAGTTCTTTTTTGAGAATAAGTTTTGCATGTGTACTTATTACATATAATAAATTTGGTTTGAATAAATATGATTTTTATATAAAGTAATACAATGTACATATTTGATAACTTTTTTTTAATACGAGGAAGTTCTGTGGAATGTACTTGATATAGTTGAAAGTAAATTGTTAAAGTATATGTAGCTGATGATAATCTGAGTATACGCATGATGCATAATAGGATTAGATACGTCCCATGTGTAAGTAAGTAACGAAAAAAAGGTATGAGGGCTTCGAAGGGGTTATATAATCTTGTAAATGTCACTCACCTGCAGACAGGTCGTGTATCCGGGGCCATAAATGACATGATCACAGGCGCACGGACAGTCCCTAATCTGATCTGAAACTTCGAAGATCAATTCGGGATCATCCATTTGGGAATCCATCCCATCGCCTGCCGGTCTCCTCTTTGCCTG